GCAATTCTCCGTTGATTACGAGAAGTACGCGTTTGCAATGTTTCTTTTCCGGAGTGAACACTCCCGAGTTTAGTATTATTCCGTGCCGACTGTGCACACTCGAGAACGATCACGTTCGATTTCTATCCGTTGAAATTTCCTTCAACCTATTTTACCTAGGGAATATTTCCTCTACAGAAGAAATTAATTAGTCAGCAGGGCGAATAGTCGCGCTTCCACCCGAACTATCGCCAATATCGAAAAAGACCTTTATCCTTGAATTCATTTACCTCGATAAATAGTCTCGACTCGCAGCGCGTGTCTCCGATTCCGAAAAGGACCCCATTGTCCAAATGCGTTCTTCGTGTTCACGTAGCCGTATCAAAAACAAACTGCACAACAATTACAAGGGAAGAAAGAAGGAAGAAGAAGATGGGCCAAAGATTCAGATCTCCCCGTGGCTAGGGTCGTCTGGGATAGCCGTGGTGGCATTCCAGGACGAACGATCAGCGGACGAAGGCAGTGCAGTGGCGCGCTACGCTGCGCTGGTGCGCTCACTCGCGAGCACACGGTCCTTAAAGGCCGGATTCGACGCGCAGCATGCGTGCATTCGCATCGTAGCGGCATTCTTAAATCAATTAGCGACGACCAAAAGAACCAGCCGACCTTCGATCAGCCGACCACTCGGCTACCGTGTCCCCGTTGCTGCGGATCGCTGCTATTACCGCCGCGGGGCGCGCGTCTATTCTATCGTCGTCCAACTTTCGAACGCTTTTTGCCGCCAAACCGAAACACGCCGCCGTGTATTTCCTTCCTACTAAATGGCTACATCCTTTCGTCCTTCTTCGGAAGACCACCGACCGCGAACACGACGGAACGCGAATCCCCGATTTATTTCAAGTCTCTAGGCCAGCTTTTTCCCCGCCTCCACCGGGGACTCCAACAGGTAACCTACGTTTCTAAGTAGGCTTGGATAAGGGGATGCTGAGATACCTTCTACTCGATGATATTATTGCGACCTGAATCAAAGGAAGATATCTCCGCTCTCTGGCGTTGATATCGAACGATACCTCGACGATTGGAAATATTTCAATTTTGATAAAAATTGGCAGAGAATTTTTGATTCCGTGGTTGATATAACGTACGTAAAACGAAGTAAACGGAGTAAAACGATTTAATTTACAACGTAACCCCATAACGATTCAAAGGTTCGCGTCAACGTGATTCCGAACGAACGACGCCACGGAACTCTCGTTAGAATTTAGAGGGTCGTAATTTTATTTTACAGGCCGAATGGCGCACGGTTCCACGTAACTCCTCCATCGAAGCGGAGTACGTTACTCCCCGTAGAAGTTCGTAAATTAACAACGATACTAGAACGGTGTATTACGCGTGTTACTTACGATCCACAAAACGAAATGGAAAATACGAAACGCGGAAAGCGTAAAATTGCCGTTTGCCTGTAAATCGTACGTAAGTTGCGCACACCCACCGATTCGAACGTAGCTAACGTCGCGCGAGCACCAGTTCCCGAAGACGTAGCATGGAAGCCCGTTACGAATGACATAACGGCAACTTCGATCTTGCGCCAAGACGGAGAAAACGAGGCAAAACACGGATAATGCCGTGGACCGCGGCAATACCAGGAAGGGCAGTCGATATTTCGTTTCTTTGTCGGATCGTTGCGGTCGATTCCTAGATCAGCCAAGGGGACAAATCGAAACGAGAAACAAAACGAACGGTGCTCAGCATCAGGTAAAAGGCCTGAAGAGAAGGAACGGTCGCAATCGAGTCACAGTCACAGGAAAACAATCCTGCCCAACAAGGAAGAAACGCGGTGAAGAAACACGCAAACCCAAGTTACTTCGACGATGCATCGAGTAAACGGGGAAAAATGTTTATTACTTTAGGAATAAAATTGTTTTGCGTTCCGTTACTGCGCTCCCCTGTCCAAACGATCGTTGCATATATGTGTGGATATCTACTTTTATAGATACTATAAAATATTATGTATTTCCACAAAGATAATTAACACTATGTATAAATATGTACATCCATAAGTCTGATTGTATGCCATATCCTTGCTAATTATTGGTTTCCGCGGTCTTACTTTACAAGCTATAAACGTCAATTGCGAGCGCATTACGAAAGCCAATATTATACGCAATATTAAATACTTCCACAATTGAAATCACTTAAATAGAACGTGTATACCCATCGATCTGGGTAACCGTTTGTTAAATACGTATCTCTACGTCCGTTTTAAGAACAAAGGATTCTATTACGACGATCACAAAGCAGACTAAAAATCTATTTGTCTTTCACGAGCTTCGAAGGATGTTCTCCCTCTATTCAAAATGCCTTTCTATGCAAATGCGACGAGGGTTAACTTAAAACTAACGTTCGAACTATTCGAACGCGTTAAACTTTAGCACGTCAGTTCGTAATAGAAAAAAAAGGTAGAAAAAAGTGTATTGTCCCAAAGAATAAATGAAAAGAAAACGCAATAATCTGTCACATTCCGTGGTCGGCGGCTCTCGTAAGTGCAGCACCAAGGAATGCGACCAATTATAGCTAGAAGAAAACCGAACGGTTTCCGGCGTGTTCCATTGGAAATTACGCGAGGCATTCGCTAATTGCCCAGCAGAAGCGCGCGCGCGCATCGATTCCTTTCCCCCAAGTTGAACGCCGGCAGAAATCAAAAGACAGCGATCTCTCTGGCAACATTTTAGGTTCGGTTAAACTGTATCATAATTACCCGAATCGCCGGCGTAACTCGCAGCGGCTGTAATAACAACGCGAGATAATTTTATATGCATAACGCATATCGGTTAGCGGATGATACGAGGCCACACACCGTATTCACCAACGCGGTTAACTATAATTTAAAAGCGTCTTGTTGTATTTCTTCTCACGTTTCTCCTTACCCATCGTACAGTACACCGGAGCCGTTTTATACCCGTGCACAGTTCGGTATACAGCGACAGGGTAGTAGAAATCCTCGTCTGGTACACGTTCACGCGCTATCGCGAACCCAAGAAGAGCGTGCTCGCGCGCATGAGGGTGTAATATAATTCAGTGCCTCCATGGCGATGGCGTCCTTTCGTTCGACCGATATAACGCGCGAATTACTTGCACGTAATATACTGCGAAACAAAGCCCGTTAACGTCACGAAACGGTGAGCTGCAAGATATTTTGTTTAGTGTCCCGTAACTTATACTGTCCACGCACGACTTTGTAAGAGGCAGGGTAATTGAGTACTCGTACGAAACGACTGCTAATACGGCCGGCCGTTTTTACGCGCGCCAAACCTGAACGTAAATCTGTTCGTCCAGGGCGATATCTGAAAATGCCCTGACTGATTTATGGGCCGGATCAGCTGCGCGAATATATCAGCCCAAGCAGGCAACAACGTACCGACCACCGCTAAACATAACGTGAAAACTCAATTTTTGCCAGACACTTTGTGTCCCGCCAGTATGTAATACATACTTGCCCGTAAAAGTAGATGGAAAACGTTCGACTCGTGTAACTCCGCGAATTAAGCTTGTTCGATCAGCGTACTACTTTGCTTCTACTTGCAATCATCGTTATACGTATACTTGCAAATCTATTCAAATGGAGCGTGACTATCTTATTTTGCCAATGCTTTTCATTGTAAAAATTGGAGCAATTGTACGATGCAGAGAGAACGAAGAAAATTTGTCTAATAAGAAATATAATTAAAACTGAGGAAATAGTACATTCAACGTTGTTTACAAAATCGATAGTTATCGTGTCGTTATGGATATACATTTTGCAAACTCTGCCATTATCAATAAAATATTATTGTTTCTTTAGTTTGTTACGTTTCCATTTATCCACTAGTCGTAGTTATATCAACTTTGATCGAATATTATTTACATTCATATTTACTTCAACATTCTCTTTGTGCTTGAAATTATACGCTCGTAATTTAAGCTGCATCACCGAGCCAGATTGCCTCATTTCATTAGCATAATCTTCATAAATCTTGGATAAAGCTTTTATCGCGCATGTAAGTAAATGCTGATTCTCTACGTTTCGCACATTACTGTTTCATCTAACTGTTATACGAAAAAAAACGAATATCGAAAAAAATCACCTAACTTTAAAAGAAATAAACCCTCTCTAAATACTTTGTTCCATTGAATGGATAAAATAAACGTACCTATGATTTTGTATAAATGTTGTGTACAATTTCTAATTTTCTCGTGTCATTTTTACCAATACTCCTAGTTTCTATCCATAATTATTTGAATATTCGTTCACAATTTGCAGTTACTTTGACTCGATAATTTTATGTAAAATATATGTTACAAACTAGGATGATTCCTCTACTTTGTAGAAACTAATTTAGTCTACTATTTCATTACTGACATTATTGCTACCCGCTGCATCATCCATTATTCATAATGCAGCCTGGTGAACGATATATTTAAGAAATTTTTCCAAGGAAAAAAGTTCTGCCACTCAACCTCGAAACATTTTTTATAGTGACGATAGAAGAGCTACGATTTAAGCGATCTGAATATTAAAGTGAAATGCAAAGGAAAATATCAAAGTTTAGTATCTTTATAAGACATAGAAGAATTAATCTGCAAGCGTATGGAAAAAATATCCAAGAATAATGAAACGTAAATGTCAGTTCTCTTATTAATAAATTACATTGGCACATTACGAACAATCATCAATGGTCGTTCCCGTGTCTGAATATCATTACTCTCGAAGCAATTGAGCAGTGAAATTTGCATTCAATCGTAGAAAGTATTATCCTACACGCCTAATGCTTCTACACAAACCTCTCCCCTGAAATATTATCATAGGAAGTATACGGTCTGACGACATTCCCCTTGCAATTCTCTTTGCAATTTTCAGTTTTTTCAACCGAATATGATTCAGTATAAGATAGTTTTGTCGAAAGACAACGAACGTAAGATTTATTATTTTCACAATTATACAAACACGTACAAAAATGAACTTTCATTCTCTTCAATTTCAGGATGGTTTTCTGTGATATCTGGCAACAATACAACGGGTAGTGCAAGAGTCTACAGAAGAGTCGATTCCTTAGTACGAGCAGGGGTACCAGCGTTTCTTTTGGCTGCACCTTTAAGGGCATATATTCTGACCCACTCGAAAATGGGTAAGTGAAAATATTGTGAAACGTATAAAATACGTACTAAGCTCTAAATTCGTTCTTCTATTACACATACGCATCATTCTTTGAGATAACTCGTTAATTGTATAAATTAACTACTTGGAATGTCGCGTTCGTATCCGTTCGTTAGTATCTCTTTGGAAATGTAATTAAGCATGTGGAGCGAGAGTACGAAAATGAAAATGGAAGAAACGAAGAAAATGGCGATAAGAGTGTTAAATAACAATACGTTGAAAACGTAAGAAGGTCTATTAAATATTTAAGACAAAAGAGCAAAAAATTCAGTCTAACAGGATATAAAATGTAGCGTAAATGGAGAAGAAAATAGGAGATAATCTTAGTATAAAAAGAAAGAAGTTAAACGCGAACGAAGAGAGTAAAGTGAATCAATAGCGTACAAAAAAGTGGCAGAGAAGGCAAAGAAAACAAAACACAGAGAAAGGAGAAAAAAAAGAGAAATAATGACACACATGAATGTAATATCGTAATGACAAGCAGCAACGTTCTTGACCTAAATGCATATAAATATCAATGTTCGTATCCTGATCTGGTAAAAAGAGAAATATGGGGAATGCGCAAATTATACGTTCCAAACGGTAGCAGAAAGTTAAATGCGGTAAATAGAATACATATGTGTGTGTGTGCGTGCGTGCGTGCGTGTGTGTGTGTGTGTGTGTGTGTGCGCGCGCGCGCGCGCGCGTGTGTGCGCGTGTGTGTGCATGTGTGTGCGTGTGTGTGCATGTGTGTGTGCTCGCGTGTGTGTGTGCGTGCGTGCGTGCGTGCGTGTGCGTGCGTGCGCGTGCGTGCATTATGTTGTGTTATGTGTTATGTTGTGTGTATGTAACGACGAAAATACGCAAAGCAGTGATATAAGAGGCATACCGCGTGAGCATTAAAGTCTCTGTCTTTGTCATACACTTAAAATTGTCGACATTAATTCTAAGAGGTACTATATTATATTTTCCATTAAACAAGAAATTGTATTGTCATCGAAAATTAATAGGTAGGTCAAAAATATTCTTAACGTTAGTACCTCTGAGAGTACTTCTCAGGACAAATTCAATAATCTTTCATGTATATCGCCGATTTCAATTATTTATTGAGATAATGAACTTACTTTGGTGGTTTTTGAAGAAACTCCACTGGATTAGGAAAGAGGGACGATGATCTTGCTCACGTCTGAAAAAAGAAGGCGTAAGAGGTTATTTCATATTGTAATAATATTCAATAATATTAATAAATGAAAGTGCGTTAATTAGACAAACCTGAAGTAGCATAGGAAGACGGCAAAATAGCAGAATATGTAAATGAGAATAATACACATAATAAATCACACGAAATCAATTAATACGTCTTAACACTACAATCATTGACATCCGAATATCGCTCCGCGCGGCAACTTCGTCTTACATGTTCCGTAGTGGTGGGGATGTCAACACGGCGGCAAGTCGAGCACGTTTGAATCGACGAATTCAGCAGTAAACAAACCATATTTCATACAAAAAAAAGTAAATACATTTAAGAGGTGGATATGCAAGATGAATGTATTAGAAAAGAAATATTCGTTCACTACTTTAATTTAATTAAATATATAAAATTCACTGATGAATAAAAGATGTACATATGTATAATTAAATACAATATTTTTTAGTATGAAATAAAGCTATATTTTACGATATAATATAGAAATATGTATTATCTATATGCTTATTTTTATGAACTATTGCTTTTTATGATAATACTGACATGTATATACATATTATATACACTAAGATTAATTATTATTACTCGTAGATTACATTGAATCACATTACTATGGTTATTATTATATATTATTTAATTATACATATTGTTATTAATAATCTCTATCAACAAAAATTTTGTGCAATCAAAAGAGCACTGTAGAGGAGATTGTTTTATATTTCAAAAGTTGACACGTATTGTGATTAATAGAAAAAGAATGAACAAATTAATAATTGACGATTAATATGATTATTAACTTCTTAATAATTAATTACTTTTAAAAAATTGTTTGCAAGATTTGTGTATATAAAATCATATCGAACACTAACCATCGTAAAAATTATTTCTTTTATTATTTTTATAGTTTTATTTTGCACTTACATTTCCATATTTTTTTTTATTCGCATTAAATTAATGATTTTATACTTCTCTTGTATCTCAATTTCGTCTCTGTAATTTCTTAAGCACCAAAAACTTTGTAATTAAAAGTTCTTTATTTATTTGCAGAAAATGGCAATTTAAGAGCTCATTACACAAAAACCACGATCAGAGCTGGGGAAATTCTACGATTAATAGCTGTTTTTCAAGACACAAGGAAATGTAGTACGGTTTCCTTCGGAATTTCCGGCAGCTCTTCCGAAAAGGATCAGTACGCTCAGTGTTTGGATCCACACGGTCGGGAAGTATTTGCTCCCTTATCAGCAAGAGGCGAATTTTATGCTATATGTCAGAATGGAAGTATCGATACCGGAAGCGATGCAGTATTATACAAAGTGCATCACCTTGCGAGAAGACCATTGCCTCTCAGGGTAAGTTTATTCCATTGTTTTCTTCCATTCGTGTTTCTTTCCATCGTTGCTTTCCTTTGATAGTGTTTTGTCCCCCGTATCTACTACGAGATCTTGTATATTTAAATATTTACAGAAATTTGTAAACTTATTAAAAATATAATGCTTGAAGTATATAAATAATCAGCGAGTAAGTACTATAACACAAATAATACCATTAATATTAATATAAAGACCAATGAATTAATAATGATATTAAAATTAAATTCGTCTTACTATTGCCGCTTGTTACTGAATTACATACTTAAAGATTTTGCCATTTTCAGGTCCGTTTGATAGCCGGTCCACTACCTGTACCATTGCCAAGGGAATATGGCGGTTTAATGCAACTGGAAAGTTCGACTCGAGGGCCAATTGTTTTAGGATGCATCGTACCGGAAAGACCAGTTCACAATCCTGAAATGCTTGAATTAGTTGTAACCGGAAATGGAGCGCCAAGAGTAAGAAGAGCTCGACTAGGTTATCCGTCAGAAGCTAGACTTTTGGCATCGCCGAAAATGCAACGATTATTATCTGCCTGCAGGTAAATTAATTTTACATTGATTATCGATTATTTATACTATGCAGGTTTATGGTATATTATTTTTTCAAACTGCTAACAATAAGATGCACGAAAAATTAAGCGCATTCTCATTATTAATTAATCAGATATAAAATTATTTGAATTATTCAAAGAATAAATACATGTTAACGCAGAATATAAATGTGTCATGTACGCACAATTTGATTTATGATATTACTATTTCCGTTGTTTAAATCTAGTTGTTTGCAATTTAATTGATTGGCCAAAGACTCAAGCAGAATATTAATTATGGACTATTATTAATGCACACCTGCTTAATGAATTTCTTTATTATAATGTAATTAACTTCATATTTTATTTTATTCATAGATTGCAATATCAATTTTTTATAAGTCGATTGTTTCTAGACCGATGTATCAAGCAAAGATCGATTTCATGTACAATATGCGCACGTACATGTACTGATAGGTAAAAATACAATATATGCAATCACTGTTAGAAAATAATATACCGTACAACGTCCCGTATTACCGCGATATTCAAAGGATGCAAAACATTTGTAAATATATATTCTATGTGGCTTAACCTGTTCTTCCACTTTAGCCGGGCTGTCGGAGATCGTGCAACGGAACCAAGAGTGGCACCTCTGAAACTGCATCCAGTCGGTGAAAATCTTAAAGAGATGCATTTGAAGAAAATCAAGCCGAAACCGGAAACGAAGCCAATTCTACAAAGCTTGAAAGACGGACTGGAACAGTTAAAAAAGAGCACCGTTAGGGAGAAAAGTCAAACTAGACAAAATTGTCGGAATGGATTTCTAGATCGAATTTCAAAATTCGCCCAAGGTGGTCGTAGCAGAAATCCTGCAAAAAAATCGGCTTCGTTTACGTTTGCAGTGAAACCAGAAATTGCGATGAGGTGTCAAGAGCGTTACTCCAGTTTGGAGCCAGAAACTACCTCCCATCCGAGTCATTCGAACTCTTCCAAGCAACCTGTACAAAGATCAGCGTCCACCAGTGTTTTAGAAATGCCGGCAAATGTTGAATTACAGCCCAATTATTCTCGTGTTAGAGATAGTCTTACACCAGTGCCATCCCTTCCCAAGTTAACCAGGACCAAAGCTGATGACATTTATGCAGAAATTTGCGAGAATGCGGCTGCGCAGGTCGAGAAGTGTCCCGGAAGTCATGTGATGGCTAGGATCAAAATTATTGTTAAAGGTCGTGATTCGTCCACAGCTCTGCCAAACAAGATTGGCGATGACAGTAGATACGCAAACTCTATGGTAACGAACAATCAAATTGATTCGATTATCAGCACGGAAGACGAAGTTATTTACAACACGATATTCTAAAAATGAAGAATTTTACTGTTATAAGCTAACCGGCTGTGTTTGATGATCGAGAACCCGTTGATTATTTTAATCAACGTACCATTAGAAATTGAAACTGTATCATATTATAAAAAAAGCACTACGAAATAATATGTAATATTCAAGAAATCGTAATAATTGCAGGTACATATGTTTGCCATACGTACTAACACTAGTAACGAAAACAAATAAAATTTTAAGAATAAAAAGCTCAATTTTTTTCTAAGAAGAAAAGAAATTAATCGAAATTGATGTTTTATGTACAAAGAATACCTGACCAATTTTTCTTAAAATTTGTTTTACTGCAAGAAAGATAAGATGTACAAAATAAAACAAATATATGAGAAAAGTGTATGACATCTTTATTTACAATTCATTCCCTTTTATTTTAATAAAATAATTCATATTATACTTTATTTCTATTTTTTTTTCTTAGAATCTTGGTTTTAAAAGAACTTCTTTTTATATGAGGCTTTTTATTTCTTTCTTTCTTCTTCTTTGGAATTTCTTCTATAACCTTTTTCATTACATCAATGGCTTTCTGATTGTCATCGTTTAATTTATACTCAATATTAACATCAGGATACTTTCCAGAAAATCCTTTTGGAAATAACATTTTCGACATAAGCGATGCCAATTGATGCTTCTTTTTTTTTAACTGATACTTTAGGGTTGCCGTTTCTTCCATTTCCGCTGCTAAATTTCTGAGAAATAAGATCGTTTTTGTCATAGAATAAAAGATATAGTAACAATCATTATTGATGCTTTTAACTAAATTATATCTTACTCTTCGTCCTCCTCTAAAACCAAATCCATTTCTTCAACTGCTTTACGTAACCAACCTTTTTTTGAATTATCTCTACGACATTTTAATTCCAACTTATCAATTTCTCGGGCAATCTCAACTCTCTCTTTAGTTGCAATTAGCAATCTATCTACTACAGGAAACATAGGTAAATCTTCCGCTAGATATAAAAAGATTGTATTCATATTAAAAGTTCAAATTATCAAACAGTATATCATTGTTTAGTTTATTCACTTACTACGACCAAGTGTTTTACACAATTTACTATAATATTCCTTTTCAGATGGTTCCATCATAAGAACTGTTATACCATCTTTTTGTGCTCTTGCTGTTCTTCCACTTCTGTGTACATAACTCTAAATAATAATTACAAGTACAAAATTAAGAGAAAAACTTGTATTTTAATCAGATATATTATAATGTGATGCAAGCGATTATTTTATCTATATTACGCCGTAATGTTGCGTTTAACTAACGCTAATTTACTTTATATCCATTGACACATACCTCACTTGTTCTAGGAACTTGATAATGTATTACATGCTCAACATTTGGAATATCCAAACCTCTTGCAGCTACATCAGTAGCTATTAACAATCCGTTTTCATCAGCCTGAAATCTAATTCCTTATTATGTATCTCGAAGTTGTATGTGTATTAAAGAAAATTTACCTTTCTAAATTTTTTAATCGTTGTCTCTGCTGCATACTTGCGTGTAATGGTAAAGGTTTACAATCAAGTATCCCTAAAAGAGTAGCTAAGCGTTTTACACAACCAATACTATTACAGAATACCAATGTTCTACCAGCGTATCTTTTTAGGAAGTAATAAAGATAGTAATCTTTATGATCTATTGTACATGCTATTCTACATTCTGTCAAATTAGTTGCGGTACCTGATGAATAATTTTAGTTATATTACGCTAAATTCATTATCTTTCAAATACATAACAAAAAAGTTTGCAACCTGATTTTTTTGTAACATCAATAATTTTTGGGTTCTTTATTCCTACTAGTTCCATAATCTTTTGTAATTTTTGAGCAGGTGTAAGCTTTTGTATCTTGCTTTTAGTATGCTTCCTTTTTTTCTTTTCCAAATACTCTGGTATATCATGCACCATAGTTAATGTAGCAGAAAATACAAATGTTTGCCTTTCTTCCATTTTTTTTTCATTCATATTTATTTTTTCCAATAGTTGCTGCAATTCTTGGAAATGTCCCTTCTCTAACATTCTATCTGTTTCGTCAATAGCCAAATACCTATTTTATATTGCATAATATGTATAAAGTGAAATGTGTAATGAAAATACATTATTTTCATAACATTGCAGATAATTATGAAACTATTTAATAAAGAGGAAAAAACTTACTTAATGGAATCCACTTTACTAAGATGTGGATTACCTTGTTGTATCAATTCCCATAATCTACCAGGTGTTGCAATTACAATCTCAGGTCCCTTACTTAATATTCTTTCTTGTTTAACTGCAGCCATTCCTCCTAATACTACAGCTACCTAAATAATATCAGTACTTAATATAATGAGTATTTAAACAATTCTCAAGACTTACTAATTAATAGTACTTATCAAAACAGTTACTTTAATGTCTGTATATTTGACTGCTTTAGTTAGGTGATCCTTAATTTGAATAGCTAATTCACGAGTTGGTGTCAATATTAATGCATACAATGGCTTCGTATAATTCTGTGTTTTGCTCATTTTTACATTATTAATTACACGTACACAACCTATACCATTTTTATTAAGACCTTCAATATGTTCTTCACAATCAGATTCAGATGAGCTATTATCATTTTCCACCATTTCATTTTCAGAACAAATCCAGCCTTTGTTCTTAGTAATTCCAGTTATTTCTTTCCCAAATTCCATGTCTGATTGTTGGGATTGCTTATTTTTTAATTCCAAAATACCATTTATAATTGGAATTCCAAATGCCAATGTTTTTCCACTGCCTGTTTCAGCTGCACCTAGTATATCTCTATGTCCCAATATTGCTGGTGGCAAAGTTAATGCTTGAATAGCAGTTGGTTCATGAAATTGTTGGTCTTTTAATGCCTTTATTACAGGAGTGGGTACACCTAACATATACCATCGTTGGGCATCAATGTCATATACATCATTTTTATCCTTATTGCAATCATTAGAAAATTGATTGTTATTATTAGGACCAATATCTAAACCATTTTTTGAAGACAGACATTTTGGTATCTTTTTAGCATTTCCTCCTTCTAACTTCTTTTCTGGAGATTTTGTCTTCTTAGCTTTTTTTAATAATGGTTCATTAGCAACTATGTCATTTTCTACCCATACATGGGAATGTTTACGCTTTGGTGATACCTAGAGAATAAATAATAAAATACAGAAATATACCAAAGTTTCGCTCTTAATGATAATAAGTATTATCATATTAGTTTAAAATGGCAATATTATTGGAAAATATAATTTATAATTTACCTTAACTTCTTTGCTACTAGTTTCCACATTGTGGATTAAGATCTTTGTCTTGTTATTTTCTTTTGTTAATTTGTAATCAGTTAGTTCCTCAATGCCAATCAAATCTTCAACATTACCAGTAAATATAGAACCTTCCAATTTCAGTGGTTTCCACCCACTTAAATTATCGTGTCTCTTTTTTGGCATAGCTATGACACTAACGCTCTCTATAATTAATAAATAATAATTAATGAATGGTAGCAATACTATTCTCAAATGTACATAACCATAAAACACGTGGAGAGTCGAGTGTTTAACTCACTGGACACAACAATACTATATACATATATGTATACAGTACATGTTATCTGATACTATGTATATAGGTACATACATACACGTGTATAATGCTCGTTCTCTATTCTGGATACTGGTTCTAGCTGATCACTTCTGGCGGCAGACAACAGAAAGGGTGACAGAGTAATAGAGCTTGCATCCTGCAGTCAGAAGAGGGCGCGGCGCACGTAAGCACCTGTTTCATAAGCCAACTACTACATCCGTCCTGGGCCGTCCGCTTATTGCTCATTCCTGCGGCTGGACCGTCAGTCGTCACATCGTATCATAGTTAAGAAATCAGTATTTAATATTAATAAAATATTTAAATATTTTAAAACAATATATAACTTGACATAATTAGTCATGTAACTAACAAATTAATTGTAGATCTCCAATAAGTATAAAGTAAAATGTTTTTAGGCGTACACATCTGCAGAAAGAATACAATATCTATATACCAAAGCAAAACGAAACTGTCATATGTTAAGAATGCGTTTGAAAGCATTACCAGAAAGACATTTACAGGAAAAAGAGGAGATAAAAAGGTTACAAATTTATTTACAATGTTATTACAAAAATTTCGAAGGTTATATTAATGAAATGTCTGAAGACTATTAAAAAAAAAAGTAAATTGCTTACGTTTTTAATGGATGTAGAAGAAAAAGAAATGAAGAATCTGAAAAATTACTTTTAGAAAAATTACTATTAGAAAAATAAAAACTATTAAACAATTAGATTAGATTTAGATAATATTATATTAATTTAATTTCTGAAGATTGTTATGACATAATTTTGACAGATACGTGATAGATAAAAAGAATAATTCTAAAGGAGTTTCGTGTTTTCTATACAATATATGATATAGATATATGTTTAATATATAAATAAAAATTGATATGTCATAAATACTTTGTAAAATATTATTTTCGCAATGTTATAATTTGGATATAAAAATTTCAATTCTATAGAATACACAACATTTACCACAACAGAAAATTGTTTTTACATTCATTTAATCTAAAAAAGTATTTTTTTATTTACAATATTTTTGTATACAATAATATGCAATGAAACATAAAAATTTACAATTATCTATTTTGATTTTCACCATTACCAGTTGAATTATTTGTAAGAATGTTACTATCTTCAATCAAATATGTATTTCTTTCTTGTGAATCAGTAGATACAGTTTTCTGTTCTAGAAATGAATGTGACTGTGACATTTTTAATTTCTCCATTTGTGAAACAGTTCTATCTATTTCTGCAGTTTCGGGTAATGACGATATTTCAGAGGAAGTTCTTTGTATCAGCAGTGATTGTACATCAGACACTGGCAGATTTTTCGAAATTGGTAATAAAGGAGCCAAAGGTTCCAAAATAACATCTCTGTTTAAGTATGTTATTCCCTATAAAAAATGCAGATTATTTGTTATATATATAGTGCTACTATATATATATAGTGCACTATGTGATTCATTTAAAAATAATTTTGTACATTTTCTTACCTCTGCTTGTAACAAATTTTCTGAAATGCCTAAATGAATTGCACTTTGATTTGGTGGAAAAATAACATGAATGCAGTACTGTACATAAGGAACCAATTGTTCACTCAAACATTCTATAAATTTGAGCATATTCTCCCTTTCTGAAGCTGCAAAAGCCTGAAAAAAATATGAATTGTATTAGATATATATCTATTTAATTTTAAACAATTGGTAAGATACAAGTTAAAAATATTAATTTACCTGTTGTTCTTGTTTATAAAAAAGTAATATTGACTTTGCTACATTATGTAAAGACTCTTGTAAAATCTTTGTACAAAAAACAGAAAGTGCTACTGGTGGACAAAGTCGTATTTCATTAAAAGCTGATATAAGTCCATTACAATATTCAGCTAATGGATAAAATTCAACCAATTGTTCTGGTGGATTCTCCTGCAAAATATGGTTTTCATTTGTATTATAAAGTGTAAATTTGAAACATAGATCCATTTCATTAATTGAAGAGAATATGGAGTGTCACTGACTTATTTTTTCATATAGATTTTCCTCCTTTTGGCTTGTACCACCAATTCGGTGATACTCTGTATAATAAAAAGACAATTACTTACTGATTTAATTGTAGTAGTTATTTTAATAGTAGTCTTTTGTATTTTATTAATTAAGGTAAATGATTCCATATCACTCTCAAACTTTTTTGTTGTCTTGCGAATACTAGACTCAAATTTTTCCCCAATAACGCGTACAAATATATCAGACATTCGGCCTGTAAAATCAGCACCTACTCTACCAAATGATAAACCAAAATATGTACATTGACCCAAAATAGAATCTATTGATGTCACACCAGGTAAATCTTGTTCTAAAGTCATTAAAAATTGGGATATCTAGAAAAAAATTAATTATATTGTATTGAAGATATATTGTCAAAGAATACATAAATATCCAATATACCTTTTCTTCAACCCAATGATAAAATATAGCACACTCGTTTACAGTTATATCTCTTCCTGGTGTTATTAGTTCATCATCATTAAACATAGCTTTATATTGTGTTATTATATTGAATAAATGTATTCTGGATAATTCTATAGTTTTTGTGATATGAAGATTAGCTAAATGGAAATAATATACATTATTAAATTATCTATTTGATATAATGTTTTATACGAAATCAACCTACGGTCTTCTTTGGGGATAGCATTCAAAAGACTTTGAAGCCAGCTATCACGTGCTTGTAGAAATTTAATACGTAATTCAGGTTCTGTAAAAGCATCCATTGATCGTAATAATCCAACAAGTTGTAGACATCTGGCGAGTGGTAAATCACCTCTTAATGAACCAACAACTTGTCCCACCATGCCAGACCAACTGTTTTCAATTTCTGTCACTATGGACTAAATCATTAATAAACAACTTGGAATATATTTTGTTACATTCTGTAAGTATGTTAAATTATACCGATATAATTGGAATATCTCCATGTTTAGTTCCTAACTGACGTGCATATTGAGATAATTCTAATGCTTCATTATATTGATTACTCCTTAAACAAGATTCCATCAACTGAGGCATTTCAAGTACTTCAAGTAATTCTGCATTTCTTGTTAGTGTTAAACTGTTTATTCTTCTATGTGTATTTATATCTTTTGATATATCACAAAATGATTGGCACTTTCCCACAAATTTAGGTATCTCTTGTACAAGTCCATCAAGTCGATTTTCAGTCTCATTAAACTTGAAATTAAATAATATATTTTTATTAATGGATAGACCAATGAAACTATAAAAATTACTAAAGTTTGGAACATTATTACTTGTTTAAATATTTCTCTAGAACTTTCTGCTGTCTGAATAAATGTCTTATAATTTGCGAACACCAACTCTTGTGTAGTTTGCAATACTGAAGTTTTCTCATCATTCAAATGACCAGGCTCTTTATCTAAAAAGAAATAGATACTTTATAATCTGTTTTAAATTAAAGAATTACATATTAGAAAAAATTGCCTTACTGAGCTGATCAACATCGTAACCACCAAGTTTTGATAAGTATTGGTAAAAATCTGGATTCTCCTTCCATAATTCTGTAAGAATGTATAACAATGTATAATTATAACTAAAAAGATTTACTTCAAACAGGTAGTTTAAATGCGATATATCAATATTGAGAAGTGAATTTGTTTCTGCTGTAGAAATAAAGATAAATTACCTGGTATGCCACTTGGAAATACGAGATTTATTACATTTTCAGTTTCGATATCCATTGTTTATTTAAATAATACATTTGTACATACGACTGAAATACTTAAACTATTATTACGTACTGCATATTGTATATATATCTATAGGTTACACGTTTAGAATATCGTTTCGTATCTTGACAGAATACCTCGATTGTAACAGTACAATTATTGGCTGTTCGTTGAATGAATAGTATACAGGTCCCACAAGGAAGATCCAATGAATTTAATTCTTGACTGGACTACTGTTTAATGTATTAGTTTCAACTGCATGAAAAACTAGATTGTAACAAAAATAATTCAATCAAGAAATAAGAATGTATAAATAAAATATATTAAAAAACAGAGAGTTAAAATAAATTGAAATAGCTATATTAAAATAGAAATTTTATAAAGAGTTTCGATAAAATTTAATGATTATGTACCAATGTTACCGTTTATTTTTTATGCTTTTCAATAATAAACGACAATTTTAATGGATTTTATAAGATATTTTAATATAAAATAATTTTTCTTAAGTATGTATATCATACAATAGTGTAATAGTACCATAGACATACTATTGGGGACATGTGATTATTACCTGTTATTTCATACATGTAACATCTGATATTATTTAGTTATCAGCTATGATACAATTTAATTAAAATAAGAGGTTATAACTAAAATTATTTATACTGAAACATTACACAGTAACTTTCAATAATTCTTTCATTTAATACAAAATGATATTAAATGTTCTCAAACAGGTAAATACATCACTTTTTCACTCAAAATGAGGTTATATAAATCTACCGTATTTGTAAAAATAATTATTTAACCAAATTATACAGGTTACAGCATACTGTCGACGTCCTTTATTTAACGAGACAGTGAGATTATATAGTATATATGAACCGCCGTATTTAAAGGTTATCTATGAATAGTTTATATTTATCAAATTATACTTTATATTAAATTTGTACTATGATTATGTTTAATATTTAATTTATTTGTACTATTATAGCAAAAAGAATATGAGATACCAATTTGTCCTGTTTTAAATATACAAATTACAGGATACAATTATCCTGTACTTGAGAGTTATCAAAGCTTTGTTCATAAAGTAGCAAGTGTATTTAATTTTACTATTGATCAAAGGTAATATTATAGCCATATTTTTTAGTATAAAGAATTATTTGGTATTATACTATATCATAATGATGTGTTCTGTTTTCATAGCTTTCCTTTACCACATAGAGAATATAAGGTAAAAAGATATAAGAAAGGAGGTACTATAGTCGATGCTGAATATGATTTAAAAATTTACGAGAGAGATATACAAATATCAAATGTGTCATCTATAAAATATCCTATTCTTATTAGAATATTAGAAGCAACTTTACCGGAGGGTGTTACATTACATGTTAATAAATATGATCCATCATTAGAAAGGAAACGTTTTATACCAAATAGGGAGTTGATTGATATCAAGAAAGAGTTAGATGAATTAATTGGAAATAAAGGAAAATAAGAGTAATAATTACTAAAAAATTATTAATTTATATAACAATAAAAAATTAGTTTTGTGTTGTAACTGGAAAAAATATTGAAGGAAGTTTTATAATTCATATAGCAATAAATAAATAATTCAGTTATGTAATTTGAAAATAACTCTTATTGTGTAAAAATTATGTACAATATAAAAGTATACATGTGCTTATTCAAGTTTTATATATATGTAAGTATAGAAAATATATATACATATATATATCTTCGTATTTAAATTGAAATCATCTTTTTATAATAGTCCAAAGTGTACAACTTTTATTTTTGAACCTTCTTCTTGTCTTGAAGATTCCTTTTCTTTGTCATTAATAGTTTCTTCTATAAAATATAATATTACATATTTGAACATATTACATATTATTATAATTATTAAACTATATCACTTACTTGGTAGTGGTTGAAAATCTTTAAGATAATCTTCATTTCCAAGGCACAATGGAAGACTTTCTGCTAACTCCCGTTTAGGATCAGTTAAATGTACTTGAGTAATTGTGGAACGTTTTTGTTTATGTGATTGACCCTAGAAATATAATAAAAAAAGTGAATACCACATATTTTTGATATCTTTAATGCTTTACTTATGTTTATATACTTACTGTACCAGGTACTAAAATATGTGTAACAGTATCTGAAAATTTAACCTTTGGTTTTTCATTTGTTGTTAATGTTGTATCTGTGAAGATAGGAAAAGAAGAACAGGACGTAGAACTAGAAGTAGATGGTGATATGATAGGTAGAGGTGGAATGTTGGAAGATATCTTAGATTCTTTACTAATATTAGTATTTGTACTGTTTTGTGATGATACTAATTTTGAATGTCTATCAAATCTGTTTTGTGCACCATAAGTAGAAGAAAATTGTGAATTACCTAGTCTCGTATTATTAGTAGAGGAATGCATATCAATGTTATCACAACTTCCATGAAGTGAAATGCAATCAAAGTCATAATTAAATCTGTATCTAGATTTAATATTGGTATATTTAGGTTGATCTTGTAAAATATTGGATGCAGAATTTTGTCTTTGTAGTAAATACGAGTTGACGTTTCTTGTTCTAATAGATGAAACTTTTTTAATCGATTCATCAATATCAGCTAATCCTGATGTACTTCTAGATAAAGGAAGATTTTTTTTTGGAAGACTTTGAAAATAATTCGTAAATGAATTTGTTAAAGAAGGTGGTGGTGGAATATTGAAATCTACTTGTTTTTTTCCCAGGAAAGGTTGCTGTAATTTCATAATACTGGGATTATCATCATTATTAAAATTATTTGAACTGCCATTGCATGAATCTTTTACTTGATTTTCAAGAAAATTAAATGAAGTAGATGCAAGATTACTATGATTGTTATGTAAATTGCATGTTAATTTATTTGTTACAACAGAATCAGAAAGCGTTTTAGACACAAAATTACTGATTGTAACAGATGGCTTAATATTTTTTAAAGGAGATGAGTCAGATTTAGTAGTTACTAAATCATTAAAAGATTTATCATATGGATTTGAAATATCTGTACCAAGTGTACTAAATGATGTAGACATAATATTATTATCTATGTTATCTAATGAAGATTTTAATAGATTAGAAGAAACATCCGATGTAACCGATTCATGTGTCAGACTGTTAAAAGGAGTAGACATAAAACTATTTTCTTGTACTAGATTCGTTGTTATTGTATCATTAGGTATATTATCAAGAGGCAACTGCATTTCACCACGTAGGACTTTCTTCAGTGTGGTATCTACAGAGTTCTCATTAACTCGATTAGACATTCCTGTTTTTCTTTCATTTAAAGACAGACTCCCAAATGAAGTTGTCATTAAATCATCAGAAATGTTATTTAAAGATTGTGAATTGCTGGTAGAAGACATTGTAGATACTGATGTTGGATGTGCATGAATTTTATACAGTGGTTTGTTGAATGATGTTGATGTAAAAAATGTATTTGGAAGTGAAAGGTGAGATGAATGATGGAAGGAGGTTGTGGTAAGAGTATTATTAGATATACTGAAAGATTTTGTTTCTAGATTACAGTCAGTTTTTTCACTAGGTGATATGTCGGTAAATGAAGTAGATAATAAATTTTTATGAAGGGTATGTGGATGGAGAACTGGTAAGGGTGGAATTTGGTTGCTAGACTCTTTCTTATAATTGTGACATTTCGATTTTATGTCAGTTTGATTCTCCTTTGAAAAATTGTCACTTTCGTCACTATAAGATACTTCTCCTTTATCACTTATTGAATCAGAACACAATGAACAGGATGCTCTAGAACATGTAGAATCTGAAAATTGTTTTTTATGGTATATTCCTTGAACTAAAATGTATAATATGATATTTGATTTATTCTTACGTGAACTACTGCAACTATTTGATCTACTTAATATGCGTTCAGCATTTTCTTTTGCAGCAGTTGCCATTGCTGTATCATTTACGACTATTGCATAAAAGTGTATATCCATAAAAAGATCATGGTCATTCAAGTCTATAGCAAGCCTAAAAGCTTTTTCAAACATATGATACCTACAATATCTAGAATTAGTTTTATGCGTTACAGAAACGTTTTTTAAAAGTAAATATATGTAATACCTTAATAAGTGATGGAAGAAACGTCTTGTTAAATCTCTTATTTCGTCTCCATATTCTTCTTCAATAGCTTGACTTATTGGTTTAATAGGTACATGAAAACTGCCTAATGCATTTTGTATAAGATCTAGAGAGTCAAATTATATTATGTTTATGTTATATTATCCATTACAAAGCAATTAAACTACAGAAGTGTATCTTACTTTCCCGTTCTGTTGTCAATGGTAGTTTAAACAAATAATTTACTATCTGATTTAATGCATGCATACATGCACGAGAATGAGTATCCCAATTCATAGCTAATAGTAAAGAAGTTGCTTGTTCAACTTGTGATAAAGATAAATATCTCTTGACTAATACATCACCAGTAAAAGAATTTCCTTCCAACATTTTAAGAACACCAAGAGGTCCTCTATAAATTTATTATATTAATACCATTTTTACTTGTTACTTGTATTATAAAAAGAGCTTATATAACGTTATACCGTTGAAAAATTAACAATAATAAAGAATTTCCGTGATTATGTAAATTAATATAACAATTTAAATCAGTTTTTTTATTCCATTCCATGCGAAGTAATGCTGGTTGAATTCTACAATGTAAATAGATGTTTTGTATTGTATTATATGCATAGCAAGTGCTGCTGTTATATCTTTGTAAGAAAGTAAAGTTAAAATAATACCTGAAATACGAAGATAAGTCAAGTATATTAGCTTGTGCTGCTTCTTCGGTCAATGTTTGACTTTTAATACAGGATAAAGCAATGTCAAAATGTTGAAATTGACCTTTATCATTTCCAACAACAAATATTATTCCATCACTATGCCACGATGCCAATGTAGGTATCTTAAATATATATACATATATATATCATTTTGAGCATTTTAGAAATCATTGTTTTAGTATTGCACTTTACATATATGCATAGCTTACAAAAGCTGCTTTTACACTAGCAGTAGTAGCTCTAGTCTGATCATAAATTATAACAGAACCATCTATACAACATAATAACAATAATTCTTGAGTTGGTGAAAATTTTACACAACTTGTATGTGTAGGTAATGATACAGAAACCATTGCTATTCTTTGAAGTTTATCTTGTTGAGAAACTTCATATGTACGCCATTCTATAGTTACTTCGCCCTATAAAGTACTCAATTGTATCCATTGTAACATTATAGGATACGAATGACACAATATTATTACCTTTCTTGAAACTTTTTGTTCTACAGAATGAATAATATTATCATTACATGCATCAAACATTATACATAAGGGATCAAATTCACTACGTATATAACAAATTAATTCTAATTTTACTCTGGAAATAAAAATACATTATCTATAAATTAAATTTGAAAGAAATTAATATTTTTATTAAACAGTAGATAGAGATAAAAGGACAGAATTAAAACAAATAAAATTAAAAACAAGGAAGAATCTCTTTTTGAATACCCTATTAAACGATAAAGATGTATGTTAGCACGATCATGTTCTTTTACAGCAGGACTCCAAGGATAAACTTCATTTATAGTAGATTTCCACCAAATTAAAATCTATAATTTATATCGTTCATTACAAATTCAAGAAAAGATAACTGGGAAGTTATTAGTTACAATATAAAGATAAAAGATCTTAATTCGATAAAATTTTTCACAAATATATTTACCAGATCACCACATTTATTGGTTTGTACTTTTTTGTCCAATCTGCGGCCATTAGGGCCAAAGAGATCAATCGTAGATAATTTTGGTTCAAGTTTATTAATTTTATCGAAGACATGTCTTTTCGATCTTGTAAAATGTACAACAGAAACTTGGTTATCGTTATAGATGCAAAGAATATAATTTTTTGTGATTATCACTATAAATATAAATAATAAAATGTCTACAACTCTTTGAATAAACATATAAATGTAAATCATATAAAAGTATACAATTACCATCTGATATATGTTCCAACAGTTTTCCTATGAGATACTTATCAAAAGTTATTTTACATACATCACCAGTGGCAATATTAACTTGTATTTGTATTAATAACGCATTGTTTAACATTAATTGTAAAACACAGTCATCATACCACTGACAATGTACAATTGTATTATCCTTCAATTGTTCCTATAAGGATATAATTGTTCTTATATTATTTAATATATAGAACGCAAAACTAATTATATTTGTTCTTAGTAGTTGATTAGAAGTTTACCTCTAAGTATTTGATAGAATCTTTTAATTTATTTCCTTTTTTATTTGTTGGTACATATATCATACCTCGTTTCTGGCAATAAGATTTTTTGGCTTCTTCGTGTAAATGATCAATACGTTTATCATGATATCTATAATAGTAATATAAAATTTGTTCTTGTTATAATAATAAAAAGTATTGTATAAAAAAATTATTTATTTGTAAAACTATTACAATATTTTAGAATGCAAATGTTTTATACTACTATTTTGTACACAGTTTTATTAACATGTTTCTTTATTAGTATAATTTATAATACGAATGAATTAATTTGTCTCACCGAAATGCACCAAAGTCTGTACTCTTTATATTAATATTGTCGTCAAAAGTCCATAAGTTTACTTCACCCAACAATGTAAACATTATAAAACATAAAACACTACTACTCTAAAAGCATTGAATATTCATATCAAACTGTATATAAACAAAGTCACGTTGGGTCTAAAAGGGTTATGTTGTGTTACATTAGAATCAAATATAGTTCATTCAAATATATATGATAAACACAAAAGGTACACTATTTTATTTACTATTACTGGAACTTGTTCTTCACCATTTTGTTATAGAATACTGTATTACCGGTATGTCACTTAGACTGCAATTGCAATGTCATTCATAAATCATAAGTATCACAAGTATTGGATCATAGACTTATAATATAAGTCCATGTATAGGATGAACTTAATGCACTTTTATGTCGGGAACTTTAGAGCCCGTTTACCATTTTAGTATCATTCTCAACGTTACCGATTCAGCATGTGTCAGGTGACCCTCTCAGCATTTCTGTACCACATGCGACATTACCGATTCATTATAGTAGTGCGAATTAATACAAATAGGGTATACGAAATACAAAAATAACAAAATACAAAAATTCCATACTTGCGGAACATTTATTTATTTATTTTTATTATGAAATAATTGATGATTCCGAATAGGCTCTGTTATAGAATACAGTTGTTGAACATAATAGAAACTATTTTGACGAATAAAATCATATTTAGTAGAAAAGAAACATTATTTCATTATATATTGTCAAAATTATTCCACCAGATTCGATACGATTTCACGAATGAAGCTTCAATCTAACTATGAGTCTTAAAATTAAGACTTAAAACTAAAAGTAAATCTTGCATCGTCCTACGTCGTCGGTCGATTGATAAACTTATCGTTCTTGAAGTTAGAACTTAAAATAGGGAGCATAAAATAAAGGAACATAAAATAAATTTCAAAGAAACGATATTTAGCACGATTTTAATGATAATTGTTTAAATTACACTTTGTTTAGAGCTTGGAAACGAATCGAATTATGTATTAGGTAGTACTGTTTCGTGATTGCTGACGCAACTGATAAACCGATGATCTATCCAATAAATTGTGAGAATACACCATATGTCCAATAATAATACTTCGATTCGACACGGATAGTATACACATGATTACACTTGTTGCTACTATATCACGTAACAATATTAGATCTCGCATTTGCAGAAATAGAAAATTATATTTCAGTCATTTCGTTTTAAATTTCACTTCGGTTATATCTTCGTAAGTGCATTTGCTAATTACTCGTAACGAATCAAAAATATTATTAAATGAAATGCTATATTACTTTCATTGCAATAAATCAATTAAATCTCGGAGAGTATTACAGTACGTAAAATGGTAAATCAGTCGTTAATTTTATAGAAACTGGAAATTAACGCGAGTAAAGTGCCCTTTTCAAATTTATGTAATATTTACGCGTATCTCTATAATTTTAATCTCTATATATAACATTTTCATGTAAAATTATTAATTCCTTTTTCAAACACATACCGTTCTCGATCTTTCGAAAATATTTATACAATTCTACCTATAGTGCGCCAAATAAAAAGAATGTCGACAAATGCGATTAACGCAACAGTCGTTGTAATAATAGAAAAACTACGACGATGTTTGACGCGGAAGATTCATCAGCCATCGAACTTGCTTTCACAAGACGGATTTCTTGTTATCAGTTGTTTCATTTGCAAACAAGCAAGCGAAAATATAGATTTCATCGATAAACTTTGTCTTATTTGGCCGAATAAATGCTATCGATACGCTAGTGAAATTATATCATTGTATAGATATCGATGTGAGGGTTGGAATTGTTGTTGCGCGTCTTTAGACTGATTTATATATTATTTTCTTTATATGTTATTTTCCATTGTAAGTAGAATAGAACAGGAACAATGAGGATCATTTCCTGCGGGTGTACGATTAGAATTTCGATTTACCGAACCATTATTCATTGCATAATGAATAAGCTCTTTGCATGAAGCGTTTGTATGCGACGAAACTTGTTTCGATACCATGTACATACATTTAAACTTCTTGGAGGTAAGTATTCTTGGCTATGTACCAACGTTTTATCGTTTTAATTATGTACTGTTTCAATTTCTACATCCATTGGAACGAAATACGTTACTTTTAACCGATATCGCGTCAAGTTGTAATTAAATTCTTAAAAATGTATAAAATTATCGTATCTCAATCGTTAATTGCAAGTGTCGGGTAAAAAAGTAAACGAAGTTGTTGGATCCTTTAATTTGGAATTGAAAGTTTCTCGTGCTGTTATTAGCTCTATCTAGAAATGGAAAGCATTATTAAAATTTACATTGTATAAAGGAGAGAACTTAAAAAATATTAAAAATTTTTGTATCAGAAATCTAGATCTCTTTAAAGTGATTTAAACGATGTAGAATTTTTATCTCGCAAACAGGAAAAGAGACAAAGGGATAATCAAATAGAAGTTACACTCGCTTACATATTGCGCTTTGGTCTATAGATCGATGTATATATAGAAAGAAGGTCATACAAACGATCGAAGTTATAGAAAAATCTTGCTTTTTCTTAGAATGGATTATCGGTTTTTGGAAAGTATATTTTTCGTTTTTTTCACATATCTTTACAGAAAAAAAATTATATTTGTTCAGGATAGGCATTAAGATTAGTGATCAGTTTACATTTTCTTTTGTTGGTAACAAAGAGGGTTAATGTTTTTGGCATAATAGCTTGATTATAGAAACTATATCAAGATCGTTGAATATCAGCTAAATAATGTTCTTTTCTGCTCAAATATTTTCAAAATGCATTTTTTATATACTCTAGTTTCTAAATATAATAGAAAGTATACCATAGAAACATAATCCTATAAAGATAATCAGTAGGTTAGGTGGAATTACAGAAGTGCAAAAACACAAAATAAATTCCATATCCAGTTGAAATTTGCAACGTAGATGCAATTCCTGATAGTTGCATTAACCTCTAGAAATACGTTATTTACAGAGATAATAATAAAAAATCGGCATTGTATTAAAGGGTAGTTTTACGAAAAAGTTGAACAATTTCTTCGCAAAAATTTGAAGAGATAGGATGCGATCGAAATTCCGCCGAAAGATTTTCAAACTGAGAGATTCCAGCAATTTTTAAACTTCCACTCTTCCAACGAACTATAAGTAAAATCAAGAAATTTTCAAGCTTAAATCCATGGCATACACTTAGATCAAAATAGTGATCTGTACACCCTTTCTAACGAGTTCCATCAACCTTCAAAGTTACACGACCATATGTATATGTAACATGTATATGCATACGAAGTACAAAGGAGTTCACTAACGAACGAGTTAAATGTCTCCGCGATTCGTGTCTCTTTCAATGAGTTTTATCAACCCGCATGTTCACAACATATCAACACCCTGTATATAACCAGTATTATATACCACCCACAGTGTCTGCGTAGTCAGCGTGCTCGACTCAGCAATGTTCGACTGCGCCACTCTGGTTTCCGCTCTCGTAAAAGAAGGACCGCGTAACGTCTCCTTCGTTCATTCACAACCACCTGCTCGTCGAGGAAGCATCGGATCTTTTGGTTCGTCTGCCAGTTGCCGATCGAGTCATTGGACCAGTCAACAGGAACGGCTTCCAGAGATACAACTTGCATAAGAAGAGAATGAAGAGCAACGCGACTTCCGGTCTTCCGCTGTCGATCTGTGTATCGGTCTGCACTCTAGTGATTCTACTGTCTGTCAGCGAGACAGTTTACGCTAAACGTGAGTATCGTTGTTTATTTTACATTTGCGGCTGTTTTAGAAATTTCTTATTCCGCGAAACACATCGTCAAAGAGTACCTTTTCCCGATCGTTTCTTCGCGTTTATCGAAGATACAAAAAGTATTCTTCCCTATACGAGTATCTATCGGTCATTTTTGTATTAAATATTTCTTACTACTATTCGTAATATTCTTTTGTAGGCTATGTATCGCTGGCTGTCGCGCTTGTCAATTATAATTCTGTTTTGTAAAACGATCATATGTTTTCCTATTGCTTCGAACTCTTCTTTTATTTGTCATTGCATATTTCAAAGAGGAGGATGAGTTACGAAATAGAAGATTTTGATTAGAACGATCTCGATATCTACTTTCAGAGTTTAGATATTATCGGCAAACGTGTATCGTTCACCTTCTTAAAATATTTTTTTTTTTTTTGTTGAACTCTCATAAAGAAGAGAGCGAGGAGTTAGTGGTTTAAAGCGAAGCGAACGTTGTGGAACAAGATGCTCTCATGCGAATGATTCAGACGTTTTTGTTTTTGTAATGGAAGTACTCGGGTATTATTAAAGAATAAAACTTTCTTCTTCCATAAATTTCCTTGAATTCTGCGTTATACGAGAGTTTCAGGGGAGGGCTAAAGATTTTCTCATTTTAGAGAGTAAAGGTGATCATAAAATAAGGTACATCGATATTTATCTCTTGTTTCGAGTAGATAATTTGTTTTTTAGACTAAACGAAGGAATGTTTCGAGCGAAGTATTTCGAAGTTAGTAAGTTTGAGTTTAATGTTTTTATTTAAACGTAACGTAAAGCAATATTAAGACTTCGAAATCGAAATACGAGAATGGAATATTATTTATTTTCCTAAAAATATAAAAGTAGGAAATTTCGGATCTACTCGAACAATTTTATTATATATTTTATTAATAATATCAATTCCCATCACACACGCTATCAGGTACATTTCCATTCCGTACATTTCCCTCCTTATAACCCCCTAATTTTCCACCTTTACACCGCATATTATAATTAGACCTTGGCGAGTATAATTCGATTTGTTCCGATCGAAGTTTAATAAAGATCTCGGTGGTTTCGTGTTTCGTATCGTTTAACCACCCGTTTCGCGAAGGATCGTGGCGTGAAACGGAGAAAGGAACGTTCTCTCGTTTTTAAAAGAACGCGTTTGCCAGTAGGCAAACGTACAAGAAATATGACAGCGGCTGTTACAATTGTGAATGAGAATCTTTGATATTCGCTCTTTGTTGTTCGCAGAGAACGAACTTTATTTAAAAGGAACTTTACTCCGCGCTGTACCGCAGAAAAGCTACGGTGTAGTTTAAGAGCAATCGAACGAATACTTAATTCTCGGTCGTTCGGCGTAACGTGAACTTAAATTAGTTTCATCGTGATAGCAAACAAAGATTATTGGCTCGATGTTACGCGTTAATCCGAATGTTTCATTATAAACGAATTACCTTTTCCTTTAGTTTGCCGATACTCCAATCCCGTGATCGTTTCATTGCGTTAAGATATGGAAAGAAAACTTTCATACGGCATGCCATATGCATAATCTTTCGATTTAACTTTAACGTTTATATGTTCAAACTAAATTGTACGCAGTAAATCAAGCGAAGATACACCGGGTTATATCGTACGATAAAATTGCGAAGCAAATTGAATGGAATACTTATTTTTCTTGAAAATTTCACCGTGGTTTCACCATTTTGCAAAACGTCTACAGAAAAATGATCAAAGAATAACGTAAGAATAATCACAGTTATATCCAATGTATCAGAGTTTTTCTTTTTTTTCTTTTTACGTATAACGCGAAGATTTGACCGAACATTATTAAACTTGTACGTTTCTCTTTTTTAATTCTAACGTTGATAATTCTGCTTCAACTTATTCAACGTTTTTTTTAATCCAATAGTTGCAACTCCGTTGAATTTACGTCCGTTCGTCATTTTGTAAAATACTGAACATTTTGTAACATACTGAAAACACAGTTTAAACTTACGTAACAATTGATCCGGACGGTAAAGACACGAACGAGCGTGCACAGTTTTACATTATGCCTTGGTGTTCGCGCGTAATTGGATTTGTTCATATTTGTCGATACTTCCGTTGCTAATTAATCGTGCACTCCCTTCGATCAACTCGATTCTACATTTAAGTGAATCGCAACTAATGATCACTTTAATCGACGTGACGCGAAACGGCTGGAAGGAAGTAAATATCTCGTGTTGCTGTGAATAAAACGATTTCTTTTTGTGAGAAACTTTCCTCACTTCGTAGGGGATAATTATGTAAACGGAGTAGAAAATATGGTTATAGAGAATCTTTGAATTTTCTAGCGATCGTGCGAATTATCGGAAGTTGGTATAGAAATTAGATCAATTTGCTGAAAAGCGATTTGTTTTCTGTCGAGCGCTTGTTGAAACAGTTATCAGTTCTCGATGATCCTCTTGATAAAATAAGTTACAGTTAATTGTGAACGTGCTGTTGATTTTCATCTTTAGACCAGTGCAATACTTTTGTGTTTCTGTGGCTTTACTCCTTTCAGTGAAAATAACGAAGAATATTTCATTAAGTGGATTTAGAATACATTGAATTTACTTTGAAATTGTAGTTTATTTATTACTTGGTCTGTTCATCGGTATCCCTTTAATATTTTAAAACGAGACTTACGTTTCGATGAAATTAGACTTGATGCTATAATTTTCACAATTCTTTTTCGAACGAACGAGCTTTTCCATATGTGACTAATTACACATCAGAAAATGGTAATTATTATTATCGCTGCTTTTAATGGTGTTGTCGGATAGATTCCATGAATTTACCGTAAATTATTTTGTAGACGGGCTATGCGAAATTGAACCATCGATTCTCCATTATTATACAAAATCCCCTAACTCGCAGGTATTCGTACTCATCTGTTTAGTACACGTTTTTGTTTCTCAGTGACATTCGATTGTTAGATCACTCGTTAGTTTCCATTGATAGCAGAAATCGAATTATATCCTTTGACGTTTCTTACCTGTTGTTATCATAGGTGTAATCAGTACGATTACTAATATAATATACGATGAAACAGTGTTAAGCAGGCAAAGTAAGGTCAAGGTATAATGTTTTACGACGCTATACCTACAAAATCAAAATGCAAGTAAGGCAGATCGGAATTCGAACGTATATAAAATGTTTAGACAAACGAACGGGGACGAGGATATCGAATAGAATTGCTTTTGTTAAATAATAAACATAAATAATAAACGTAGAAAATTTAACGAACGTAATTGTAAATTGAGTTTATTCACGATTCATTCGTGTAATTGTTTGAAATTTATGGAATTAATGTATGTTGGAGAATAAATACGAAACGGTAGATACAGATAAATTATTTTATCGCAAGGGTATGTAAATTATCTCGTAATTAATAGTTTCAAGCTTTCAATGTTTTTTTGTCTCACTTTTTCTACTCGTTTTATCATATTCAATCGATAGCTAACGAATCTGTTTAATTAGTTTTTAAATACATTTCTCACAGTAGGTTAGAGACGAAAGAATATAATCGAAAGATTTAAAGACAATTCTCTTATATTTTTGTTTCGTAATAGCAAAAACCGATACATACGTATAACTGAAATGTTAACATCTGACAGATGTACGGTGCGCGTATCATGTCCGTGTCGTATGACCGACCCACGTTTTATTTATCTTGTTTTGTTTTTTTGCAAGTACGTGGTCGACATTGTAGTTGTTTTATCACTTTAAAGAATCGTGGAAATTTTCATCTGTCCTTTTGAAACAATTTTTTTCTATAACGTATAACATGATTTTTATGGTTAAAGTTAATCGAGTGTAATTTAAAATACCGAGCTCCATTCGCAAAATATTATAACACGAAACGTAAAACGATCGAAGCTCTGTCGATCAGAATTTGTTCGATGATTCTGGAAAGTACTACGTAATAAAATTTTATAGCGATTTGTTTAATTAGATCGCTTTAAATCGGCCGTAAATATGCTTTATATTAAAAAGTTGACAAAAACAAAACTCGTACGACGTCAAGGGAGATACACGTATAATATGCTAACTAGTTTCTCGTAACTTTATGCTGTTATCGAAATGCGGAGATTGGTTTGAAATTTTTAAAACTGGTTTGGAATTTTTTGAATGCGACTTTCGATGTTCTCTTCTAAATATAATATGGTATACGAAGTCTTGTAAGTTGGTCGTATAGAAAACACGTAACATGTTTTACTTGCTCAACAACGCGTCGAGGAATCCATAAATTTATAAACCATTAATTCGTAAATGTAAACGTTATTCGTCGAGTTATCGCATTCCCTGACCCGCTTACTCGTCAAATTTAACGTTATTTAAATGGAGCTAAAGAGTTACTTCGAAACTTCGTAGATGGACAGGAAATTGGAAATTGCTTAAGCATCTTATATATTGGTAAAGTAATTTATAAATATTTAATAATAAAATAGATTTTTTACATACTGACAGCATTTTTCTTTTCGATGGAAAAGAATAGCTTAGTGGGAGTGGTTCTTACGTTCGTAAGTACGTAGTTGCGTGATCCTGGTTTTAGTTCACTGAAGATGTACAAAATATTTTATAATACACGAGACATAAATAACAAAAGGCAGAGAAGTAATAAAAGTTCATACAAGTACGAGTTCTATTCGTAGTCATTTTCGTGTTCGAACAATATGCAGCTGCTTATCGCATTACAGTGAGTGGCCTAACGAGCATTATGATTTCAATGTAAACCTGTGGTTTTCGTATTATAAGCATGCCATACGTTTAAAAAATTCCAAATTAAGTATCCATTTATATCCTAAATAATAGCGAGTAATTTTCTACAAATTATGTTATACTTCGTACCTTTCTGAACAAGAAGGTTTTAATTAATTTTTAACGAAGAAATTACATTTTTAAAGAAACAAAAAGTTATTAACGAAGAAAATGTGTTTCAATTATATTTCCATTAAAC